GAGAAAGATGAGGCTTTCTGCTCTTGTAAAGATTTATAGCATTGGAAACCTTATGCAGGGTCGCTATGAGTCTGACGGACTCCATGGCACATCACCACCAACCACCACCACCATTTAGAGTGAGCTCCACCTCCCACCCACACCTACCCCTCTATCCCGGGGAACCATTGGTGGACGCTGCTTTCAGTATGTATACCTATTCTTTTTACAATAGTAACATCATATGGTATTTGTCCTTTGACTTATTTCATTCAGCATAATGTATTCCAGTTTCATTTACATTATAAAGTATTTTGAGAATTCCATGATCTTCCTCCCATCTCCCAATCTCACTGAATGTTCATATTCTCAGAGCTCTAAACCAGAACGGGAGTGGCCTTTGGAAGGTGCCAAGGTCTACCTGGGAATCCGCAAAAAGCTAAAGCCTCCAACACCGTGAGTTTTCTTACCTAGCTCCTACATTAGGGCCTTCCTGCTATCACCTCTCTTACCTTTCTGATCATATATCACTGTTCTCCTTTGCTCCTAGGTGGGGCTTCACCTTGTTACTAGAGAAGATGCATCTGTGAGTCCCCCTCCTTATAATCTGGCTTCTCCTCTAGCCCAGCCCTATGTCCTGCCTGCCTTCACCTCCCTCTTTACCTCCTCCATCACTTTAATTGTGATTCCCCTCTCCCCTTAATCCCCTCTGATTACCTCTAGCTACCTGTCCTGCACTGATGAGAATGAGATGTGGGACTGGACCACCAGCATCCTCAAAGCCCAGGTGAGGGGATGGAGGAGGCTGAACACTAGGCATGTGATCCCCTGGGACTTAGATACATCCCTCGCTGTCCCCCTTGTCCATCTTTGCCAACGCTTCACCCTTTCACCAGCATGATGACCAGCAGCCAGTGGTCTTACGACGCCGTTCCTCCTCTGATCTTGCCCGTCAGAAGTTTGGCACCATGCCTTTGTTGCCTATCCGTGGGGATGACAGTGGGGCTATACTTCTCTCTGCCAATCAGACCCTGGTAAGGCCCCTGTCTGTCCCAACTTCCTCCTGCCCTCTGCTCTCTGCCCTTCCTGCACTGCAGTGGGGACCTGATGCCTCCCTCTTATCACTGTGCCCCTCCCTCTGCCTTCTCTACTCACCCTACTTCCCACCTCTGCCTCCTTTTGCCAAGCCTCACTGTGTCTCTGTGTCTCTCCCTCCCCTCATCCTGTTCCACCTGTACCCAGCGGCGACTGCACACCCGGAGGACCCTGTCCATGTTCTTTGTGAGTACTTGTGCCATGCCAGCTACAGTGCCAGTGTGCCTGTCAGCCCCATAGTCCTCTGTGCTGCCTGACTCTGCGTGTGCTCTCTGTATTTGTCCTGATGCAGATTTGGGAAGACCCTTCAGAATGTGTGTGTGTGTGTGTGTGATGCAGTAAGAGAGAGAGAGACAAATAGTTGGGGCTCTATTTGTGTGTTTGTGTGTGAGTGTGTGTGTGTGTGTGTGTGTGTGTGATGCAGTAAGAGAGAGAAAGAGAGAGAGACAAATAGAGTTGGGGCTCTATTTGTGTGTTTGTGTGTGAGTTTGTGTGTAGTGCTGTGAGAGAGAGAAAGAGAGAGAGACAAATAGAGTTTGGACCAGAATATAGAAAATAAAGGAGAATAGGATATAGTGAGGAAAGTAAGAAGGAATCATGGGATCTGAGAAGAAGAAGTTGGTTCGAGGCCCTTGCTTGATCATTTACTCACAGTGGGATCTTGGTCAATTTGCTTAACACCTCTGAGCCTCAGTTCATTCATCCATAGTATGACCACCCACCTAGGGTTATATTGATAATTATACATACAAAGTATTTTGCAGTATCTAACACAGAGGAATAGCTCAATGAATGTTGTTGTTGTTAAGTGCCATTGAATCTGTTCCAACTCATAGCAACCTTGTAAGATTTTCTGAGGTGTAGCTGGTGGGTTTAAACCACCGATCTTGTAGTTAGCAGTCCAGTACTTATCCTGCAGTGCCACAGTTCATAATCCAGTAATTCTGTACCTGCCTCCTGACACCCGCATATCCATCCAGCCTATGAAGTCATCCCAGGGGTCTGTGGAGGAGCAAGAAGAACTGGAGGAACCTGTGTATGAGGAGCCAGTGTATGAGGAAGTGGGGGCCTTCCCTGAGCTAACCAAGAACACCTCTACATCCACCATGCAAGAAACTCTCCTCACCAGCCAGAGGTCCTTTGATCAACCTCTTCTCTCCAAAGCAGGCACCCTGGTAGAAAGGCCACCTGAACCCCTTCCTATTCCCCCTTCAAAGAGCAGCCCCCAGGCACATGGGACCCTGGAGGAACAGCTGCTTCAGGAGCTCAGCAGTATTATCCTGAAGAAGGGAGACAGCACCACAGAGCTTGGCAGCCCCTCCCAGCCCTCCAGCCCCCAGTCTCCCAGCCCGCAGTCCACTAGTCCCACTGACCTTTCCACACAAACACCCAGCTTCCCCACCCAACCCCCTTGCACCTCCAGTCTGCCCTCCAGCCAGCCCCTCACATGACTCTAGGAGGAGCAGTCAGAAGGGGTAGATACCCAGCCAGAGGTCCTTTGGTCTACCTTGGAGGCAGAAGACCCCAAGTCAGACCATGGGAGACATGCTGGAAGCTTCCCCTGTCCTGACTGGAAAGACTCCACAATCCAGTGTGGTGCTGTGGAAAGGAGCACTGGACTGAGAGTTCAAGAAGCTCTGTGTCCCAGGGCAGCTCATGGCCCTTCTCTGGGTCTCAGATCACTTCTCTGTACTAAAAGGTATCTGAGACAAGGAGAACACTGAATGTCAAACTGTGTTTCTCAGAGTTGTAAGCCTTACATCTTTTCCCTCAAAAAGGGATAGCTCCTGCTTTGTATATGTGATATGTAGAGGTTCTTTGATATATTGAGGGTTTTAAAAGAATGTTTTTACTGCATGAAAGAAAAGGCTGGAAAGCCAGAAGTCCAGATGATATTCATCCTACTCCATGTCCTGTATTCTGGGACTGCATTGAAGCTCTAGAGTGGGGAGGTTGATTGGGGTAATGAACTGGGCCAAAGAGGAACTAAAAAAGGGTCACTGTTAATAAACTTTATAACTGAAAAGCTATCAATTCATTCAACAAATATGTACTGTGTGTCTTATTTGTGCCCTATACAAGGGATAGGATATGTACAAAACAGATAAGGTTCCTGTTTTATAACACCTCCATTGTAGAAGTTGTTGCTGTTGTTGGTAAGTGCTGTCGAGCTGGTTCCGACTCATAGTGACCTTGTATAGGGTTTTCGAGGTGTGGTTCAAACCACCCTGGAGGTTGAGTGCTTTATCCTCTAGTGCCACTGTAGAGGAGGAACAGAGAATAAAAAATACCAACAAAAACAAGTAGGTACGTGGATGAGCGAGTGGAGTGCTATGGAGAAACTATGCTAAAGTGATGTGTTTGAGAGTAATTATGAAGGTGGCATTTAGACTGAACAGGGAAGGCTTCTGAACAGCTGAAATTAAAAGTAAGAAGTCAGACGAGTTTGGAGCAGTGGTGGAAGGAGTTTGCCTGTTGGAGAGACAGCAAGGAGGCTGGGGCAGCTGGAGCATGGTAAGGGACCCAAGCATGCATACACAGCCTTGTAGGCCATGCTCAGGTATCTGGATTTTATTGTCACTGTATAGGACACAACTGAGGGGTTTTAAGCAATTGAGGAGTCCTGATGTGGCACTGTAGGATAAGCAATGGACTGCTAACTACAAGGCCAGTGGTTTAAACCCACCAGTGGTTTCTCGGAAACCCTATACAGACAGGGTCACTGTGAGTTGGAACCGGGGCTCCATCGCATTTAACAAAGCCAGTGAATGAGATCTTATTTTTTCTTTCTCTTTTTTTTTAAAAATAAAAAACATAGCTTACTCTGGCTTCTGTATGAACAATGGGTTGTAGTGGGGCAAGTGTGGAAGAAAAGAGACCAGATAGCAGACCAGGAGCCTGATAATGGGCTTGGACATTGAGGGAAATGGATCAATAGAAAATCATTTCTGGAAATAGAACCTACAGGACATGCAGCTAGATGGAGTGTAGGGGTTAGGAGAAAAGGCACACCAAAGCTGAACCCCTGTGTTTCTGACTTTTCTAATTGAAGGGAAGTTGGTATTACCTGGGAGAGGTACAGGCTTTCTAAGAAGTTGTTTTGAAAGTTTGAAGTGCTTATTAGATATACAAGTAGAAATATCACAGGGCAGATAGATATGTGAGTCTGGAGTGTGGGGCCAGAGATAACTGCTTCTTCCATGTTGGGGCACAGTGCCAAAGACCTAAGCCACAGGAATGAAGGTGCAGATCCACGTAGAGCATCTAGAGTGCCTAGATCCTGGGGTGGAGAGCCTGAAGGGTAAATCCTAAAAGGGATAAGATTACTAGGCCACAGGCTCACTCGCTGGTATTATTTAATTTTCTCCTAGAATCTACCTGTCTTTTCCTCTGTTTCCTTCCTGTCCTCCAGGCGTCTTCTCACTCTGTTCATGCTGGCTTTTCCAGTTCAGCGGAAATTGGGAAAAGGTCTGGGACCAACCCTCTCGGCTTTGTCAGATGCATCTTTGCTCAGGTGTCCAGTGACTCAGTTTCCCTGCTCACCCATTGAGTTTCTGGTCATCCCTTGCCTTCAAGCAGGGGACTTGTGATCTGCATACGTAAATGATTAGAAACAAATAATTACGGGTTGAGTCAGCAGCTTCACTAGAAATAGAACCCAGGCGTCTTGACTCAGAAGCCCTGGGTTCTCCCCATCGCCCAGCGGACGCGGCGTCAGTCCGGCGGCAAGGACCCTTCCGGAGTAGTGGCAACAATAACAGCGGTTTAGATCCTCTGCTGCCCCCTCCCTCTTGCTTCCTCAACCCAAGCCGGACCAGGCGTAGGCGGGCTGAGGGCGGGGCGTGGGCCAGTCAGGGGCGGGAATTCTTTGAGGGCGGGGCTTCCCCGAGTTCCGGAGTCGAGTCGCTGTCTGGGCCGGAGTGGAGATGCAGCCGCCGCCCAGAAAAGTAAGCTTAGCTTGAGAATGGGGACTCGTGGCGGAATGGGGGAATGGAAGTGATCAAGGGGGTCACCGGGCCCAGAGTGGTAGACGGGGAGTGGGAAGGGGTCAGAACCCAACCTAGAAGTAACCGAGGAAACAACTCAGCCCCTCCCCGTCCCCGCCCCCTCACCTCTCTACCCATCAGTGTTCTTTCAGGTGTTCCCCGCCCTTCCCCCACACACACACTCCGGGCCAGGGTCTCCATCCTCTTTTACCTTTCTCAGGTGAAGCCGGCCCAGGAGGTGAAGCTTCGCTTCCTGGAACAACTAAACATCCTTCAGACTCGGCAGCAGAGGGAGGCGGATCTGCTGGAGGACATCAGGTAGGCCACCCCTACCCCATTCCAACTCTCTACTCACCGCCCACTCCCTGTGTCCTGCTCTCCGCCCAACCCACCCACCCAACATACGTCTGCCCCAGACATGGATGAAGCACCCTTTAACCGGCTCATTCTCTCCCCTTTCCTAGGCTTGCTGCTCCATAGACCAGATAGGAATTTCACTCACACACACACACACACACACACACACACACACACACGCACACACACACACACACGCACGAACTCTTCCTCCAACCCCATAACCCCTTTCTGTACCTGCCTCTCCCTACAAGCTTTGGGCAGAATCCCCCTTTTTTCTTCCAGACCTGTGAGAAGGCTGGTGGGTCCCTCTCAGAATTCTCCCCTTCAAGTCCTGAGATGGTCCTCAGGGTGGGGAAGATATTGCTGGGGCTCTGAACTATGAGGTGAGGTTGTCTGGGTTGCGGCTGTCCGAGGTGATCTCAAGGACTCTCTCTCTTTCGTTCCAAACCCTCCACGTGTAGTTATTCTAGGCCTGGTTTCCATTTTTCTCCTGCCTAGACTGAGGAGAGAATTGAGGGTGGGAGAACAGCACCAAAAAGTAATCTCCACAATCCACCCCAAACTCCACAGATCCTACAGCAAGCAGAGGGCAGCCATTGAACGCGAGTATGGGCAGGTATGAGACTCCTTCTTTGAATCCTCTCCTTTGCACCCACCAGTAACGTCTCTCCCCACATACCCCTATTCTGGTCAAGAGCAAATGTGTCCATCAGGCAAGCTTGTGTCACATCCCTGCTGTGCTACTTATTAGCTGTGTAACTTTGGACAAACTGATAATAATATTATACTTTCTTTCATGTATGTATTGGCGCCGTGAATGCAAAAATGGGCTCAAACATAGCAACAATGGTGAGGCTAGCACAGGACCAAGCAGTTGTTTTATCCTGTTGCACACACAGTCACTCACAACAGCAGCCTAACAACAGTGCTTAACAACCTTTATGTAGAATTGTTGAGGATTGGATAAGCATGGAAAGCACTTAGCAAAGTGTGTGACATACGATATCATTCAATGAATGTATTATTATTCCCTGATTCTCTAATCTCCCACTTTGGGAGATGGGTATCTTTGAAAGGGAACTGGGTCTGTGGTGGCTTTCCCATTAGGCACTCCAGAAACTGGCTGGGCCATTCCTGAAGAGGGAGGGGAATCGGAGCGGTGAGATGGACAGCAGGTGGGTACCATGGAGGGAGGGTTAAAGGGGCAAATAAAGATGGGGAGTACTGCCCCAGGAACCTGTGGGGATGAAGGCTCAGTGAGGAGGAACGCACGTGGTGAGCAGCAGGTAGAGCTGACACAGCAGCAGGAGAGAAGCTGACCTAGCAAGGACATTGTGGGTGGGGGCGGGGGGCATGAGTGAGGCTTGTGGCTGAGCTAATGGGCTGATCGATTGATGGACTCCCAGATGAAGGGGGATGGGAAAGCACTCTGTCTCCTGGTGTTGGGGGTGGTGGTCTCATGAAGCTTTGGAGTGCTTCCCTCATCCACACAGACCTTCTCTGGGGAGGAGTAGGACAGTGTTTGGTGCCTGGCGCTGCCTGCTGGATGCTACCGTGGCTGGGGGCCAGGCCCGGCTCCAGGCATCTGACCGATACCGTGACCTGGCAGGGGGCACAGGGCGGAGTGCCAAGGAGCAGGTGCTCAGGAAGGTATGGTTCAATGGATGAAATGAAGGGAGGGCTGGCTCAGGACTGGAGGTAGCCTGGGTCAGGACTTAGTGTGTGCATGTTTCCAGGGAGCAGAGAACCTCCAGAGAGCACAGGCTGAGGTGTTGCAGTCTGTCCGGGAACTGAGCCGAAGTCGGAAACTGTATGGACAGCGGGAACGCGTGTGGGCCTTGGCACAGGAAAAAGCAGCCGATGTTCAGGCCAGGTGGGGATTCAGGAAGGCTGGGGAGTAGATGAGGGGTAGGCCTAGAGCACCACAGCTAGACCTGACCCTAACTCCTCTTCCCTGCCTGCTCAGGCTGAACCGAAGTGACCATGGGATCTTCCACACTAGAACCAGTCTCCAGAAACTCAGCACCAAGGTTCGGGGCATGGGAAATCCAGTGGGCAGAGGCTAGTTTGGAACCTAGAGGCATAAGTCTGAGAGATGAGGTTTGCGTCCAGGCTCCCCTGCTTCCTAGGTGGGTGACCTGGGTTAAAGTTCTTGATCATTCTGAGCGTTATTTTTCCATCTGTAAAATGGAAATAATACCCTTTTAATTTGTTCCTTCACTATGTGTTTATTGAGGATCTCTTACATATTAGATACTGTTCTAAACATTGAGGATACAGCAGAACACATTACCAATGAAGTTGCTGCCCTTGGGGAAATGACAGTTAATTGGAGTAGGCATGTAGAAAATAAATAAATCAGATTAAGATGAAAAGAGAAAATGCTATGATAAAGGGTAACGGGGTGGGAGTAATTTTGAAGGAAAGCTTCTCTGAAGATGTGGCCTGAGTATCCAGAAGGAGCCAGCCATACAAGCAAGTAGCTAGGAAAAGAACATTCTAAGCAGAGGAGAATAGTGAGTGCAAAACCTTGAGGTGGGAACAATTTTGTAAGCTTAGGAACTGAGAGAAGGCCGGTGGGTTGGAGCGCTGTGAGAAATGGGACAAGCACTGTGAACAGAGGTCTGAGAGGTTGTAGGCACTAGCTCATGTTGGACCTGCTGGACCATGGTAAGGAGCAGCTTGGATTTTGTTTTAAATGTATGAAGAAGCATTAGAGGATTTTAAGCAGGAGTTCTGAGTGTGTGAATTTTTAGTGTAGAGTGGGGCACCTAGTATGCATTTAATAATGTGAAGATTCATTCTGGATCTGGGTTCTGAGGTGGCCTTGGAAGGACCTCTGTGGTCCAGGGCTCCATGCCAACACTTGTTTTCTATTCTCAGCTATCTGCCCAGTCTGCCCATTACTCCCAGCAGCTGAGAGCAGCCCGCAATGAGTATCTTCTCAACTTGGTGACCACCAATGCCCACCTGGACCACTACTACCAGGAAGAGCTGCCAGCCCTGCTCAAGGCTAGTCTCAGGCCATATACTTTTGCCCTTCCAGGGGAGGAGGGGGAGGCCTCATCCTTCCCATGAGGCTGGGTGGCTACAGGGACCTAGCTTGTTTGGAGTGGTTAGAAGATACATTCTTAGTTCTGCTCCTAGCTGGCTGTATTACATTGTACAAGACACTTAACCTTTCTGAGCCCCATCTTCCTCATCAAGAATAGCCCCTACTTTGTTTTATACGATTGTAATGGGGCTCAAAGGAGTAATGGGTATGAAAATGGTTTTAATTGATAAAGTACGGTACACACACACGTCTGTGCCTATTATTATAAACAAAAATAATGCCTTACACTCTTTCCCTTCTTCCAATACCTATGCCTATCACCCATCCAAACCTGGACTGAGAGCCTGCTTCACAACAGAGGCCTGGGGGAAGGGGGGTATCAGTATTTTGGGGTTCTCTCCAGGCCCTGGTCAGCGAGCTATTGGAACACTTGAGGGACCCCCTGACCTTACTGAGTCGTACTGAGCTGGAAGCTGCAGAGATGACCCTGGAGCATGCCCGGCAAGGTGGGCAGGCAACCTCCCAGGTGAGACTGTAAGAGCTGCCTAGAGATCTTCTTAACCCTTCTCTCCCAAATCAGATCACCCTCCTGCATTTCTTCCCCTCTCCTTCTCACCTTGTCCTCTTTCTTCCAAGAGAGTCTGCGGACAGGATTGCAGAGAGTGCCAGCGATAACTGACTTTTTGCAACCCCCAGGTAAGCTGGGAGCAGGATCTGAAGCTCTTTCTTCAGGAGCCTGGAATATTTTCCCCCACCCTACCTCAGCAGTTTCAGCCAGCAGGGACTGACCAGGTAAGACCACTCTGCTTGTTGGCACCAGGCCAAATGTGCTTTAGGCCTCATTCCTCAGGACCCTTATCCTGGTATTAACGTAAAAGCCATTTGCCCTCAAGTCTGCTCCTACTCACCATTTGCACCACCCAGGTATTAAAACCCTGCTGTCTGGGACTCTGATATTAACTTACAACCCTGCTGTCGTGTCAATTCTACCTCACAGTGACCCTATAGGATAGAGTAGAACTGCTCCATAGGGTTGCCAAAGCAGTCTTTACAGAAGTGGACTCTCATCTTTCTCTTATGTAGCAGCTGGTGGGTTCGAACCACCAACCTTTTGATTAGTAGTCCAATACTTAGCCCACTGTGCCACCAGGGCTCCTTGGTATTAACTTGGTGGTGGTGGTTGTGTGCCGTGGAGTCAGTTCCAACTCATAGAGACCCTACATAGGATTTCTGAGGCTGTAAATCTTTTTGGGAGCAGAAAGCCTCATCGTTCTCCCATGGAATGGCTGATAGTTTCGAAATGTTGACTTTGAGATTAGCAACCTGATTTGTAACTACTACGCTACCAGTTAAACCTTGGAGAGCTCCCAATCACCTCTCATCCACCAGGAGCACATATTAACATCCCCTATCTGCACCTTTCTGTTGTACATAAGTCGGTACCAACTCCATGGCACCTAACAACAACAACTAATGCACCTTTTAGTTACTTTATTGCACTGTCCTCTTCATTCCCCTTCGGGAACTTTGTGCACCCCTGTGTCCATGCAAGTGCATACTTACTTAGGTTCACAGACAGGGCTACGTGTCCTGACCTCTGTGTTCTGGATGCCAGGACAGAGAGAGGAACAAGGAGGGAACTGGAGAGAGGGGAAGTGGAAAGGAATGGCATCAGGTGCTCCTCACAGCTGCATCCCTTCAGGTGTGCGTTCTGGAGCTGGAAGGGGGAGCAGGAGGCGTAGCTGGGAAGAGTGGCCTGGAGAAAGAGATCCAGCGCTGGACGAGCCGAGCTGCCCGCGATTACAAGATCCAGAATCATGGGAATTGGGTGAGGCAGGGGGCACAGGCATTTGGGTGGGCATGAAGACCTGTGGGGAAGAGATCTTGGTGTCACTAAGGGGGTCTTGGGCCTGTAGGCAGGAGGGAAGGGGAAGGTATTTTAAGCCAACAAGTATGGTACAATGGTTACAAGCACAGCATTTGGAGCTAGATGAGTTGGATTTAAATTGCAGTTCTGTTGTGTTCTAGTTTTGTAATATGAGGTGAGAAGTGACTTAACCTCTCAGGACCTCAGTTTCCTCGTCAGTATACTAAGGTTATTAATAGTACCCACCTCATTGAGGAGATTAAATGATGTCATGCATGTGAAACAACTAGCAAAGTGCCAGGCCCAGAGTAAGCCATGCTTCAGAGTATCTCCACCCACCCCGGCCTATTTTACCAATCAGGTGCTACAGCGGCTGGAGCAGAAGCTGCAGCAGGCTCTGGAGCGGGAGGCTCCAGGCATAGAACAGCGGCTACAAGAAGTGAGGGAGAGCATCCGGAGGGCACAGGTGAGCTACAGGACAAGGGTTAGGGCCTCTGAGATCCCACGTCCTTAGGCAATGCCTCCATTCCTTTCCAGCCCATTTTTATATACGTGAGCAAAGATTGATAGATATTTGAATGTTTACTACGTGTGCAGGAGCAGATCACGAGGTTTTTTCTCCTTCAGAGTGCCTGGTGGATTTGAACCGCCTACTGTTGATACTATCTTTCAGTTGGCAGCTGAGAGCTTCACTATTGAGTCACCAGGGTGCTTCCCCAGTCCACCCCACCTTGCCTCTATTCGTCTAGCTGATGGCAGGGAGGTGGGAGGTAAAGGATAGATACAGCTGGTTTGATTCCACTCACCTCCCAGAGGTAGCCCCAACTAGACCATGGTCTTGACTGACTCCTGTTCTCCATGCCAGGTGAGCCAGGTAAAGGGGGCTGCCCGGCTGGCTCTGCTACAGGGAGCTGGCCTGGATGTACAGTGCTGGCTGAAGCCAGCCATGACCCAGGCCCAGGATGAAGTGGAGCAGGAGCGACGACTCACTGAGGCCCGACTGTCTCAGAGGGACCTTTCTCCTACAGTGAGTTCTAGCTTCTGTCTACCCACAAATCCAGGAGGGCAAAACTCCCCAGAGGGAGGCAGATGCTATTACATGAGGGTCATGTGAGGGTTGTTGTGAGTCTTAAATGAAACCTGTCAAGTACAATGCTTTGCACAGTTTCTGGCGTATGGAGTCCTAATAAACTTTTATCATGAGTGTAGGTTGGTGATTAAGAACTAAGCTTCTGGAGGTAGACTATAAGTGGTTTCAACACCAGCCATTCCACTTTCTAACTCTGTAATCCTAGAAAGTGACGTAACCTTTCTGAGCCTCTGTTTCCTCAAAAGTAAAATAAGGTAAATAGTTACTAGATTGCTATGAAGGTAAGTGTGACAATACATAGAAGATAGTTACCTTTGAGCCTGGCAGGTGGTAAGTCTATGGTGATTTTGCTTGTGATCCACAGTGAACAGATGGGCAGTACTACGTTGAAGGAATATCTAGTGTCCTTTAGGGGCAGGATGGAGGAGTAGGAGATAAAGCTGATTATGTCTGTTCTCTGATCCCTTCCAGGCTGAAGATGCTGAGCTCTCTGACTTTGAGGAATGTGAGGAGGCAGGGGAGCTCTTTGAGGAGCCTGTCCCCCCAGTCCTGACCACCAGACCCCTGCCCTGCTCTGCACATGTGGTGTTTGGCTATCAGGTGTGAATGAGAGTGGGGACCTCAGAGGGTAGGGGTGGAGGATAGCCAACTTCTGAGTCACTCTTTGTGGGCCTAGGCTGGGCGTGAGGATGAGCTGACCATCAAGGAAGGCGAGTGGCTGGAGGTCATAGAAGAAGGAGATGCTGATGAATGGGTCAAGGTAGGTATGGGGCCCTGGTGATGCAGGCAGTGGGAGTGATTTTCTGTGGCCCCTAAAGACTCAGCCAGGTCAATATAGAAACCTGAGTGGAGAAGGGCCAGGGCCATGGACTACTGAGGCAAACTTGATATCTGTCCATATCACTGGACAAGTAGGCTCGGAACCAACATGGCGAGGTAGGCTTCGTCCCTGAGAGATATCTCAACTTCCCGGACTTCTCCCTGCCTGAGAGGGACCATGACAGCAATGACCCCTCTGGAGCAGAGCCCACAGGTAAGAAAGGGACATTCTGGGCCAAGGGGTTCTGGGTGTGGAGGAGAGTTAGTGGATGGCTGTAGCCCTGGGGTGTCATGGTCCTGGGGCACCACCATCCACCTCGTCCCTTCATTATCTCTTCTTGGTTTCTGCAGCCTTCCTGGCCCGTGCCCTGTATACCTACATAGCACAGAGTGCAGAGGAACTGAGCTTCCCTGAGGGGGCGCTCATTCGTTTGTTGCCCCGGGCCCAGGATGGAGTGGATGATGGCTTCTGGAGGGGAGAATTTGGGGGCCATGTTGGGGTTTTCCCCTCTCTCTTGGTGGAAGAGTTGCTTGGCCCTCCAGTGCCCCCTGAGCCCTCAGACGCTGAACAGGTACGGCTTCTCACTCTTACCCTCTGGGTCCCCAGGCCCCTCTGGGTTGATCCTGCCTACCCAGTAGGCCCATATACATTTTCACATTCCTTCCCCAAGTTTTCCCCCTAAGTGGCTTGGGCCTCCCCATCTCATTTGGTTGGGCAGAAAAAAGGGTAACCAAGGAAGCTTAGCATAGCAGTTCAGAGCTCTAGCTTTAGTGCTGAAGAGACTTGAGTTCAGATCCTATTGTGTGACTTTGGCCAGTGATTTCATCTCTCTGAGCTTCTTACTTCATGGGTAAAACAGAGACAGAAGTACGTAATTACGCAGGCTCATTATCATGATTGGAACTAATGGAGGTAAAGCCATTAGTGCAGTGGCCCAGAGGAAGTGCTTTAATAAATAGTACTTATGTGTTGCTCATATGCATGCGAAAGCTGGACAGTGAATTAGGAAGACCGTAGAAGAATTAATGCTTTTGAGTTATGGTGTTGGAGGAGATTATTGAAAGTGCCATGGGCTGACAGAAGAACCAATAGATCCATTTTGGAAGAAGTGCAGCCAGAGTGCTCCTTGGAGGCCAAGATGGTCAAACTTTGTCTCTCATACTTCGGACATATTGTCAGGAGGGACCAGTCGCTGGAGAATATTATGTTTGGTAAGGTGGAGGGTCAGAGAAAAAGAGGAAGGACCCCCCAACGAGATGGATTGGCCAAGTGGCAGCATTGATAGACTCAAGCGTGGCAACAGTAGTGAGATTGTCCCAGGATGGGGCAGTGTTTCGTTCTACTGTGCATAAGGTTGCTATGAGTCGGTACCGACTCAGTGGAACCTAACAACAGCATGTGGCACTATAGGATTAGCACTCAATCTCAAGGTTGGTTGAACTGCAAGGTTGGCTACAGGGCCACTATGAATCGAAATCAACTCAAAAGCACTTAACAACAACATTGCTATAATATAGGGGAGGAGCACAGTGGCACTGTAAGATAAACACTGGGCTGTGAACCACAAAGTCAGTGGTTTGAGTCTAGCAGCCAGGATTCAGGAGAAAGATAGGACTTTCTGCTCCCACAAAGATTTATAGCCTCAGAAACCTTACACTACAGGGTTGCTATGAGTCAGAACCGACTCAATGGCACTTAACAATATTGTTATAATAAAGTAGCCTTGGTGGTACAGTGGTTAAGCACTTGACTGCTAACAGAAAGGTTGGTGATTCAAACCCACCAGCCACTCCGTGGGAGAAAGATGTGGTAGTCAGCGTCCATAAAGTTTACAGTTTTGAAAACCTCATGGGGAAATTTTACTCTTATAGGATCAGAGTCCTGGTGTGGTGCTGCAGGATAATGCAAAATCAGCAGTTCAAACCCACCAGCCGCTCCTCAGAAATCCTAGACAGGGTCTGACTTGAGTCAGGACTGACTTGACGGTATTTAACAGCAACAACATACGGTCTCTATAGTGTTGTAATGAGTCAGAATCGACTTAACAGCAGTGTGCTTGGATTTAGGGGTGTATTGTTATAATGAGGAGTCCTGTGGTGTAGTGGTTAAGCACTCAGCTGCTAACTGTGAGGTCAGTGGTTTGACCCCACCAGTCATCCCACAGGAGAAAAGATGCAGCAGTCTACTACTTTCATAAAGACTACAGCCTTGGGAACACTCTTAAGTCAGAATTCACATGATGGCAATAGGTTATTGTCATAATACAGCAGGAGGAGCATAGGTGCAGAAGGCAGGAGGCCTGGCTTATAGCTAGGAATTGGCCACTAACTGGCTCTGTGATCTTGGACTGATAGCTTGATCTCTCTGAGCCTCATCTCTAAAATAGGAATCATAAAAATGCCTACCTCATAAGATGATAGTAAAGACTGAATGAGCTAATGCTTGTGAAGTGCTAGCAGAATGCTTGGCATAGTGTAAGTGCTCAGTGCATGTTGACTATTGAAATATATATTAGCTACAACCACTGAGACACAAGCAGCTGGCCATTCCTGTATTGGGGAATGATGGGATAGGAATTGAAGATGGGATGGGAGAAACCTTTCTACACCCAAGGGCTGACTCTCTGCCCACTCCACCCTACAGATGCTGCCGTCTCCTTCTCCTCCGAGCTTCTCCCCTCCTGCACCCACCTGTGCCGTAGATGGGCCCTCTGTACCTGTTCTGCCTGGGGGTGAGTTGAGGGAATGGGGAGCTCTGGGAAGATGAAAAACAGGAAGGAGGAAGCTTGGGACTCTTTCCTCCTCAGTCATCATTTGCTTCTCTGTCTACCTTCATGCATATCCCCTGCAGGCCTACTGCAGTTGGTTGAAAGGAGAGTGTGGGGTTTGGAGACAGGCCCATTGGTTCAATGCCCATTTTATCATTCCCTAGTGTGTGATTTGGGGTGGCATGTTTAACCTGTCTGGAGCTCAAGTTTTTTTTTTTTGTTTTTTTTATAAAGTCAAGTACCTACCTCACTGAGTTGTGAGGGTTAAAAAAGATATCCATGAGAACACAGCGTTGTGCCTGGCACATCCTTAGCACACTAGTAGCTGTTTGGTTCCAATTAGCTTAGGGTTCTTGAATCCTACAAACACCTTGGTTTGTGTCCTCATTTCTCCCCTTGTAATGCCCACGTTTTCTAAAATCTGGCACTTCCCACTTTTCCACAGAGCCTCCCTCCCTGCCTCTGGGAAATCCCTGAACATTTCTTGTCCCACCTTCTTCAGTACCCCTAGTTCATGTGGAATGAGCCATCTGTTGTGTTTGTTAATGTTTCATGTATTGAGTTCCTGATAGCCCTTGAGGGTGGAGGTACTATATCCCAACCCCCTTGCTCTAGTACCTTGAGCAGGGCAGATGCCTGTGTTTGTTGAGGATTGATGAAATGATGACATGATAGCTTTTATGACTGACTTCAGCAAATATTTCTAAGAGTACACTGGCCCAAGTGCTGGAGTTAGGACAGAGAACAAAACAAAGAACAAAGGCTGATTTGTGCTTCTTATTTTCAGACCAACTCCCAGATTGCCCTGGGCCCCTGGACCTGATGGCGCCTCGTATCAGGCCGGTAAGGACCACTGCTTTGAAGGAGACTGTGGAGAGAGGTCATTCCAGCTTGGTCTGTTGTGCCTTCAGGGCTGGGGGAATGGGGTATTATTCCCAGAGTACTTTGGAGCCTTGACTGTGTATTCCCTACAGATGCGTCCACCACCTCCTCCACCAGCTAAAGCCCCAGAGTCCCTCACCTGAGAGCTAGGGGGATCACTGCCCCTCAGTGATGCTGCTGCTCCATCCTCATGCTGTCAGAGACTGCTCCCTCAGTGACTGATGATCCTACACACTACAGCCAAAAGCTGGGAGAGCTCCCATTTTCACTCTCCCCAATTTCTGGGGCTGGGACCCACTCCTCTTCTTCCATTCCCCTCCTGCAATTTCTAGGGATGGAACTACCCCTTTCTTTTCTACCACCACCCCATCTCTAGGGCTGGAATCCCTTCTATCCCAATCCTGATATTTCTGGGACTGGAATCCATTGCCCCCAAAGTCTTGAACGGCTCCACCTATCTCTGTCTCGACCCTGGCTCCATACCCCTGGGGAATAGGGGCAGAGGCAGGCCTTGGGAATCAGAAGGAGCTGAAGCCAGTATGCAAAAGCAGATATAATGATCTGAGCTGATTTATTAACAGTGAATAAAGGGCAGAAAGCCCAAGCCAAGGCCTGGACCTCTTGTGCCAAGAGGGCAGGGGGTCAAAGGTGCTATTGCTTTAGGGGTCCACCAAAGACGGGCCTGTTCCCAGCTGCCACGCTCTAGCATATGGAGTGAGGTGGTAGGACAGGCAGCCTGTTGGCAGGCAAGGGAAGGGGAAGAGACTGAGGGGCATGTTGAGCGGTGGTTCTCCCGAGGTCCCTCAGCTTGAGACCGTGCAACTCCAGGTGGAAGTAAGGCTGGCCCCTTAGCTGGGGGCAGTGCTGTCCAGTGGAAGGAAGGGTCTTCATGCCCACCCACCCCTGGCTCTGCCAGCTGGTAGTCTGTTCAGCAGCAGCGAAGAATGAAGCTTGGAAGAGAGGGAAGGTAACAATGTTGCCTCCTATTTAAGCTCAGTCCCACCTTTTTCTTGGTGGCACAAGACTTCCAGGTTCTAGAATCTACCCCCTGGAGCACGTGCCCCACTCCCAACAACCAAACCAAGGAATTTGTAGCAAAGGCTAAAGCCTGCAGTTCACCCTGGAAGTTCAGGGAGTTGATGGGCTTGAGTAGTAGGAGGAGGGAACAGGATTTCCTGCCTTGGGGCCTAGGCAGACTCACCTCACACACCCCCTACTCCCTGTGATGGGGACACCTGAGGGAAAGCAGAGGGATTAACACTGTTTCCAACCAGAGTAGGCGATGATAAGAGCTCAGTCACCACATCCCACGGTAGCCCTGGCCATGTCTTCATACCTGGTGATCTGAAGTGTCTAGTTTGGTTGGCTGTCCATTTGCCTCTTGACTGGGCAGCCCTGGGCTTGGGCCCCTGCTTCCAACACCCACCGCCGACTCTGCAGAGGCTCCAGGGTTCCCCTCAAGTGCACAAGGAACTATGCTGCTGTCCCTGAGTTCCCCATTCTGCACTGGGGGGCTGGCTAGGGACTGCGGCTGTGGCCTGTCAGGGGGCAGTGTCTCCATAGCAGCCATCCCTGCACTGGACTGCCCTCCCCCAGACCCCTGACCAGACCCTAGGTCCTGCCCCCCACCAGAGCCCCAGCTTCTGTCTGTAGGAGAGCCATCACGTTCATGAAGCCCATGGCGTTTCTCAATGTGTGTCACCCGAAACCTGGGAGGAGAGGGAACATTGGGGCTTAGGACAACAAATCAGAAGCTGCTCCCCCCCCCCCCCCCCCCGCATCCAATGGGGGCATCCTGGATGTGATGCCACTTCCTTCTAGCTTGGGCAGGGAAGGCCTCCTCAGACCCTGGAGTATATTTTGCAGCCTGATTCCTGCTGCAGCTCCAAGTCCAGGAGGAAGAAGCCAGGCCTGGCTGGATTCCCACTAGACGCCCAATTACTGGGGCCCTCTACCTCCTTTTACCTGGAGCATTCTGTCCCCACCTGCCCACAGAGAACACGGTGGTCTCCCCAGGCCGGGGACGGCTCTTTCCTTCCTTGGAACGGCCCTGACGGACAAGTGGAGGTCTCTTGTTGCGGCTGCAGTGGATGCAAGGGGCTGCAGAGCCCAGGTGCACTGTGTGATGGTGGGAGGGGGCTCCATCCTGCAGGCTGGAGGTGGCATCCACACTGGACAACAGGGAGGAGAAGAACAGGGGTGACATTCTTGTCTCTCTCTCTGTTCCATTTTCTCTTGTCCTTTCACCATGCTCCTTAACACCCCCCTCCAGGTCCCCCACTTTCCAAAGACCCCAAAACCATTCTTTTCTGATCTTTGTCTAATAAACTTATATTAAGATATCAGTAAACAATTTGTTCTCCTTAGGGCTGTTTGCTAAAAAGAGAATGCTTAACCTAAAGGAGGGCACCAGGGGTGATTGTTAGGCTTGATGATAACCAGGTGGAAGGTGTAGTTTGAAAGAATCTGGATTTCTACAAAACTTTCTTCCTATAGATGAGTCAGCCTTCTTAACCCCCCTTCCCCAAACATGATAGAATGGGAAAGGATTGTGCTGGAGGAGGCGGGTATTCTCCAAGGGAAGTGAAGCCATGCTGGACCTTAATTCCAGCTCACCTGGATAGCTGCATCGTCCCTTCTCCTTCACTGTCCCCCAGCATCTCCTTCAGAGCCTCAGCATTGGCTGAGGGGAGAAGGAAAAGATTAAGTGCATGGCGGCCAGGGCAAGAGAAAGGGAGGAGGCAAGAAGGCAGTCTACACCCACCTTCATTTTGGATGATGCAGCGAACAATCCTCTCTACTGTGTCCTCATTCATGTCATCATCCTCAGCTGAAGGATGTAAGAGATTGTTGGCAAGGAAGGGAAAAATAGATCATCAGCTTTTGAGGGGACATTGCTTGGTTCTTGTGGCTTGTTGCTCAAGACATACCCCCTTTATTTGCTATCATGCTGGGCTTTAGCATGAATAAGGTCATGCTAAAGGGAGCCAGGGCAGGGAAGATAGGAAGTCAATGGAAGGCTAAATCCTTCCTGCCCATGTCGTTTCCTGTAAGTCTTGCCTTCAGGGTGATATCACCCCACTTACTGACTCAAGGAAGCATCACTAGGTTTCCCGCAGGCTTTACTGGGATTAGATCTACATCTTTTGACCAGGGTAAAGGAGAAAAAGGTGTGGGAGAGGGGTAAGAGATAAAGGTGACTGAGCCAGGGTTCTAGGCTCCTGACTCACAGGCCTGGAGCTGGGCGTCGTCAGGCTCTGAGCCCCTCGATGTGCGGCAGCGGTAGCCCTTCTTCTTAAGCACGTGGCAGATCATGAAGCCTACCAGGCCCATGAGGAAGAAGACCAACACAAGCAGGAAGAGCATGTACAGCCCATGCTGGGGCGGCTCCAGGTCAGGCTGTGGTTCCGACATGAGGCCCTGGGGGGCGAACACGGGCCAGGGCGCCTCCTAGGGGGAGGGGTCTGCAGCTGGGGATGGTGAGGAGGGGCAGGAATGTCATCCTTACGATCTCCAAATGGCATGCCTCAGCGGTCCGGCCCCACCCACTACCCAACAAGGGAGCTGTCCGGGCCAGGGGTGCTGGTCCGCCAAGAATGGATTGGGATCGGGGCCAGACAGCAGCTGCGCAAGTCTTCCACGACCCTGGTCTCGCTTCCCCGACGCCCGAAGCGTTCTTTCCAGCTAGTCCCCGCGCTTCCATCCCTCCCAAGGACACTGCAGCGCAGGATGGGACGGTATTCTCAGGAGGCGGACGCGGGAGTCGCGCTTGAGTCAGCGTCCGCTCCTCCTCCGCTCCGGCCTGAGACAGGCCTCTGCAACCCCTTCCCCTGCTTTCCATCCCGCACCCTCCCTTTCCCGGCTCCTCCCATCCTAACCACCTGGCCCACCCAGTACCGGTGGTTCGGCTCTGGCTCCGGGTCGGGTTTAGGCTCCAGGGGTGTCCTAGTCCGGCTCAGGGCCTCCGACGCCCTCCCGGCGTTCATCCCTTGCTTCCTCCCCCTCCCCCCTTCGCCGCCTCACCGGCTCCGGGCTGCGGCTGCGGCGACCGGTGCCGCGGCAGGCGGGGGGAGGGAAGGATGGAGAGGGATGTGCGCTGGTTGGGAGTGGGAGCAGGCTCCGGACAACTCTGGCCCAGGGAAGGAAAGGGGGTGGGAAGCGCTGCTGCGGCCGCCTCTAGGTTCCTAAATGCTTTGGTCCGCAGCCGGCCCGGGACCAGGGGGCGGAGCGCAGGTGTGCGGGGCGGAGAGCGTGAGCTGTGCGCGCGTGTGAGCGCAACTGTAGTACGCGCGTGACTGAGCCGGCCCCCCTCCAGGGGTAGTGCGGCGCCGTCTGCGTCCGGGTGGGGAGGACAGGCGGTCCGACCCGTTAGGGGTGCTCCCTATAGGTTTCTCCTGCACGCCTGAAAGGCTCCTGCCCACAGATGGGCAGTAGCAGGGATCTCCCCAGCGGGCAGGTAGAAGCCGGTCATCTGCACTGGAGCGTGTCTCCGAAGCCTCCTAGCAAGGTTTGTGCGGAGACCACAACTTGCACTCCCTTTGGGGGAAGGAAGCTGAATGAAAACCTCGATTCCCAGAGAATTTGACCCCAGCTGGGGAAAAAAATGGCCCTACCACGATGGGCCAGATGGTTCTCCTCGGGTACTCCAGCCGGGACGCCTAAGCCCTACAAAGCAAGAGGAGCGGGCCAGCCCAGGGGCGTGGTGAAATCACTGCAGGGGCGTGGTTAGGGCGTGGTCTCGCAGAGGCGGGATCTGGGCCTCCAAGTTCCGCAGAGGCGGGCTGCGTGCTTACGCAGCACGCAGGGCTGGGGGTGGGGCTGGCGGCCGGGCAGGCGGCGGAGGCGCGGGGCCTGCTCCCGCGGTCACCATGGCCAAGACTGTGGCCTATTTTTACGACCCGGACGTGGGCAACTTCCACTATGGTGAGAGACCAGGATTGTTGCGGGAGGGGTTTCGGGACTCAGAGGTTTTTAGGTAGGGGCTGCAACTCCAGGGTTGGAAACTGACGAACTCTCTTCTCCCCACCCCCAGGGGCTGGACACCCAATGAAGCCTCATCGCCTGGCATTGACCCATAGCCTGGTTCTGCACTACGGTCTCTATAAGAAGATGATCGTGAGTCCCGCTGCCTCTGCCGGGTGTTAGGGGTCGGGGAGCAATATCCTTAGGGTTAGGTGGGCTGGGCTGAATGTATCAGATGTGAAAAGTGAGTAAGGGGACTGAATAGAAGTCTCCCGGAGCAACCCACGCCTTCTCTTTTTGCTAATGAAATGCTAACGAAAATGCTAACGCTCTAGAGGGAGGGCAGTATCCTCTTTACAATCTATATCATCCATGCTGTCTTCTGTTTCATCAATACTCAAACCTTCATCACCTAGGCATATATATGGTTCCTCTAACTTGGAATTTATAACTATGATTTGGGACTATGACAGGCCCTACCATTAAGCATTGTGAGGGGAATGGGTCAGCAATCAATATGAATTGCATGAATCAATGAATTCCCTTAAGTTATTTGCATATATATAAGGAGCTCTGGTAGCGTACTCTTTACCAATCAGGCTGCTAATCCCAAGGTTGGCAGTTCGAAACTACCAGCTGTTCCGTGGGAGAAAGCTGAGGCTTTCTGCTCCTTTAAAGATTTATAGCCTTGGAAACCCCTGTGCAGGGTCACTATGATTCGAAACTGACTCCATGGTACTTAACAACAACATATACTATATATATATATATATGCCTCTTTTTATTTTCTGGAGAGGGAAAAACACTGTACTTTTTGCCTGATTTCCAAAAGGGCATATGAACTTCTCAAAAGATATGAAATCTCTGGTTTAGTCCCTTGAGTTTTAATTAGAAGATTGTCAGATACCCAGTATTATTTAACTCTAAAATGAAGAAGAACGCAGGGAGGAGATGAGTTTTGGAGAAAATCAGGAATAGACTTGGGGCAGGTTGATCAGGGCTCAAGGTTGAGGAGGCCTGGCTGGGTATGCAAAGGAGGAAGCAAGCCCAGTGTTTTTTAGGGAGCTTGATAGTAATCACCCACTTGGCTACTCAGAGCCTCTCTTCTTCAGACTCAGATTAACCTTTGCCTCCTAATGTAACAAGACTTCGTGTGGTGTGGGGACTGCTACGGGTGGTCTTGAACAGTCCCATGGTTGGGGTCATTGTGAGCAGTCTCAGCCCCACTCATTTTGTGTCTTCATCCCCAGGTCTTCAAACCATACCAGGCCTCCCAGCATGACATGTGCCGCTTCCATTCTGAGGACTACATCGACTTTCTGCAGAGAGTCAGCCCCACCAATATGCAAGGCTTCACCAAGAGCCTTAATGCTTTCAACGTGGGTGATGACTGGTAAGGAGAAGACTGGGACTTTTGACTCTAGGCACTTTGAAGGAGGACACTTGAGTGAGGTCTTGTGGCAACAGCAGTGGGAAGCTAAGAACAGGGTTTACTTATCAATGAAGCATCATCTTCTTATTTGTTTTTTCAGCTTCTATTAATTGATCATTTGCTATAGACCAGACCTGGTGTTAAGTGCTTAGGATACAATGAAGAAGAACAACAAAAATAGATAGGTGTGGGGATGGGCAATCAGTATGGCAATTGCAGTCTCGTGAAGAAGGCAATCATCTAATCTTCAAATAGATATAGTTGTGGTTGTACCAAGTCTTGTGAAGGGAGAGGTACACTACAGACTGTGAAAATGTGTAGTTGGTAGAATAATCTAGCTTAGGGTCAGGCTGGTCAGGGAAGGCTTCCTAGAGGAAGTAACAATGATTAGCTAAAATCTGAAGAAAGAGTAGTAGGTAATTAGTAAGAGGTGGTTGGACAGTGGGGATTACATGCAAAAGATCTGTGGTAGAGTAGAGTATGACTCATTTGAAGAACAGAAAACAGGCAGAGTGATTTGAATTGAGGCTAAAGAGATAGATGTGACCTGACCTTGTAAACAGCCCTATCAGGTAGAAAAGAGCCCTGATGGTGCAGTGGTTAAGCTCTCAGCTACTAAGTGAAAGTTTTAACTCAAAGTTCAAACCCACCAGCTGCTCCTCTGGAGGAAATCAATTTCCTAAGATTACAGTCTTGGAAATCCTATGAGTCAACTCAATGGCCATAGGTTTTGTTTTGTTTTATATTGTTTTATTATGTAAAGGGAAACAGTGAAAGTTATTTTAAAAGTAAAGGGGGATGATCTGACATTGTCAGGTTTATAATGAACTTGTCTTAGGTAGAAGACTCGGTAGTTCTTAGGTGCTGTTGAGTTGGTTCTGATCCATACCAACCCTATGTACAACAGAATGAAACATCACCTAGATCTGTGCCATCCTCACAATTGCTGTTATGCTTTAGCGAATTGTTGCTGCCACTGTGCCAATCTGTCTTGTTGGAGGACTTCCTATTTTTCACTGACCCTCCACTCCTTCTCTAGGGACTGGCCCCTCCTGATAACATGTCCAAAGTATTAGAGATGAAGTCTGGCCATCTCGGCTTCTAAAAAGCATTCTGGTTGTACTTCTTCCAAAACAGATTTCTTTGTTCTTTTGGCAGTCCATGCTACCTTTACTATTCTTCTCTAACACCCTAAATCAAGTGTATCAATTCTTCTAGTCTTTCTTATTCATTGCCCGACTTTCACATGCATATGAGGTTTTTGAAAATACCATGACTTGGATTGGGCCACACTTTAGTCTTCAAACTGACATCTTTGCTCTTCAACACTTTAAAGAGGTCTTGTGCAGCAGATTTGCCTAATGCAATATGCTGTTTGATTTCTTGACTGTTGTTTTCATGAGTGTTGATGGTGGATCCAAGCAAAGTGAAGTCTTTTGACAACTTCAATCTTTTCTCCATTTATCATGATGTTGTTTATTGATCCAGAGGTGAGAATTTTTGTTTTCATTATGTTGAGGTACAACCCATACCAAAGGCTTTGGTCTTTGATCTTCATCAGTAATTATTTTAAGTCCTCTTGGCTTTCATCAAGCAAGGTTGTGTCATCTGCATATTGTAGGTTGTTAATGAACCTTCCTCCAATCCTGATGCCTCGTTCTTCATATAATCCAGCTTCTCATATTATTTGCTCAGCATATAGATTGAGTAAGTATGGTAAAAGATTACAACCCTGGTGCATACCTTTCCTGATTTTAAACTGTTCAGTGTCTCCTTGTTCTATTTGAAGGACTGCCTCTTGGTCTATGTACAGGTTCTTCATTAGCACAATTAAGTGTTCTGGAATACTCATTCTTGGCGATGTTGTCCATAGCTTGTCTTGATCCATTCCACATAGTCGAAAGCATTTGCATAGTTAATAAAACACAGGTGTAAACATCTTTCTGATAGTCTCTGCTTTCAGCCAAGATCTGTCTGACATCAGCAATGATATCCCTTGTTCCACTTCCTCATCTGAATCCGGCTTGAGCCGCTGGCAGTTCCTTGTCAGTGTACTGTTGCAGCCATTTTTGAATTATCTTTAGTAAAATTTTACTTGCATGTGATATTAATGATATTGCCAACCATTTCTTTTTGGTACAGTGACTGTTTATTCCTTTCATATTCTTTTGATGCTTTCTGCATTATTCTATATTTTGTCCAAAGAAGCCTTCAAATCAAGGCTTAAATGTTTTTCCTCTGTTTTTTCAGCTTGAGAAATGCAAAGCATTTCTTCCTTTTTGAATTTCTAACTCCAGATCTTTTCATACTTCATTATATTTAACTTTGTCTTCCCAAGCTGCTCTTTTAAATTTTCTTTTCGTCTCTTTTACCTCTTCACTTCTTCCATTTGCTTGAGAATCTCTACGCTGGAGAGCAAGTTTCAGAGTCTCTTCTGATATCCATTTTGATCTTTTCTTTCTTTCTTGCCTTCTTAATGACCTTTTTCTTCCTTCCTGCATGATGTTCTTGATGTCATCCCACAACTCTTCAGGTCTTCTGTCATTAATGTCTAATGTATCAAATCTGTCCTTGAGATCTCTAAATTCAGGTGGTATAAATTCAAGGTCATATTTTAGCTCTTGGGGACTTGTTTTAATTTTCTTCTGTTTCAACCTGAACTTGTATAGGAACATTTGATGGTCTGTTCCACAATTTGCCCCTTGCCTTGTTTTGGCTGATGATACGGAGTTTTTCCACTGTCTGTTTCTACAGATGTAGTCAGTTTGATTTCTGTGTATTTCATCTGGTGAAGTGTATGTGTGTAATTAATTGTCTTTTATGTTGTTTAAAAATGGTATTTGCGATGAAGAAGTCATTGGTTTTATAAAATTCTGTCATGCTATCTGCGGCATCATTTCTATCATGTAGGTCATGTTTTCAAACTTCTGATCCTTCCTCTTTGTTGTTGACTCAACGTGGTGGTGGTGTTTTTAAGTGCCATTGAGTTGGTATCAACTCATAGCGACTCTATGCACAATAGAACGAAACACTGCCCAGTCCTGGGACAACGTCATAATCACTACGTCTGAGCCCATTGCTGCCACCACTGTGCCAATCCATCTCTTTGGGGCCCTTCCTCTTTTTCTCTGACTCTCCACTTTACCAAACATGATATCCTTCTCCAGTGACTGGTCCCTCCTGATAATATGTCTGAACGAAGTATGAGAGACGAAGTATGGCCATCTTCTCTGGCTGCACTTCTTCCAACACTGATCCATTGGTTCCATGGTACTTACAATACTCTACTCCAACACCATGACTCAAATACATCAATTCCTCTACAGTCTTCTGTATTCACTGTCCAACTTTCACAAGCATATGAGGTTATTGAAAATTTGGTGGCTTGCATCAGGCGCACCCTAGTCTTCAAACTGACATCCTTGCACGTCAACACTTTAAAGAGGTCTTGTGCAGCAGATTTGACCAATGCAATATGTTGTTTGATTTCTGACTGTTGCTTCCATGTGTGTTGATGGTTGATCTGGCAAAATGAAGTCTTTGACAACTTCAGTCTTTTCTCCGTTTGTATGGATATTGTTTATTGGTCCATTGGTGAGAATTTTTGTTTTCTTTACACTGAGATATAATCCATGCTGAAGGCTGTGGTCTTTGATATTTATACATAAGTATTTTAAGTCCTCTTCACTGTTAGCAGGCAAGATTGTATCATCTGCATATCGCAGATTGTTAATGAGTCTTATGACTCTTAGCGACCCTCTATAGGGTTTCTGGTGAGTGGCTGGTGAGTTTGAACTGCTGACAGGATGGTAGTGGTGTGCCATGGAGTTGGTTCTAACCTTGAAGTTCAAACTGACCTTGCGGTCAGGTGCTTATCCTAGAGTGCCACATCTGACTGCTAGCGACCCTGTATAGAGTTTCCGAGATTTCCTTCGGGTTAGCAATGCATTGCTTATCCTACAGCACCACACAAGGACTTCCATCCCTGTATGTTGTTGTTGTTAAGTGCCATCGAGTCAGGTCTGCCTCATAGAGACCCTGTATAGGGTTTCTGAGGAGCAGCTGATAAACTTGAACCGTCGATCTTGTGGTTCAAATGACCTTGCAGTCCATCTCATTAACCCATAGCGCCACACCAGAATTCCTCTTTACCTGTATATATCCATGAAAAAATAGTAACCATAACAGCCCCCACCTACTCAATTAAAAAAAATTTTTTTTTAATTTAGAAAAAATTTCTAATCTATCTAAAAGCATGAACCCCTGTTATTCATCAGTAATTATGAACACATGAACAGTCTTATTTTATCTTTACCTATTCCAAGTGTAGGAGCACTGGTAGTCTGGTGGGTTACAAGTTGGGCTGGTAATCACAAGGTTGGCAGTTCAAATCTACTAGCGGCACTGCATTAAAAAGATGAAGCTTTCTGCTCCTACAAAGATTTACAGTCTCAGAAACCCTGTTCAGGGTCACTATGATATCGAACTGACTTCATGTCACATAACCACTACCACCATTCCAGATGTAGGAGTCCTGGTGTGGTGCTATAGGATAAGCACTGCGCTGCCGACTGCAGGGTTGTTGACTCAAACCCACCAGCCGCTCCTAGGAATCCTCAGAAGTCCCATCTGTGCAGGGTCGCTATAAGTCAGGATGGACTCAACGGCACCGACAACAACATTCATGATGACACAACCTTTCATCCATTGTGTAGCTTAAATATTGTCCTCCTTTTTTTTTTTTTTAAAAAAAAGTTATAACCACAGTATCATCATCACATCTAAGAAATGAATTGTAATTCCTTAACATCAGACAGTCAGCTAGTATTCAAATTGCTCCAGTTGTCTCATTTCCCCCCGCCCCCCAGTAGGCTGGTTTAAATAAAGTCCTTTCATTGTATTTGGTTGACATGACTCTTAAGACTTTTAATCTGTGGCTTTTCACCTCTCCCTTTGAATTT